TCAACTTGATGTAGTATAGTGTATAATGTAAACATGCAGAAGTCTTATAAGATGGATATTAAAAATCTGAGTTTATAGGTGAGGAGGATTATGTCAGGTCAGAAACTGTAAAGCTAGGATTTGAAACCAGGTTCACTTACTTCAAAAGCCGTTCTCAGAAAGAACTCTAAAAATGCAAACCTGGGAGTACGTGAAGATGCAGAACATACTGTCACATCACATATCCAGCACCACCAAGAACAGAGTGTTCTGCATAAGACAAGGTGTTGGATAGAATTGGATACTGTTGCCAGCTCTGATTTGTTTGGCATTTGAATCTGATTTCAAGTGGGAAACCAGACGTATTATTTGTGAAAACTCTGAATTAATATGCTGTGAGGGAGAATCAAAGGAACTGACCTGAAATAAATTCAGTAATGTTTATTTACTTTTATTTATATCTTAGTCCTGGACAGTTGATATTGCTGGGTAAGTTTCAAGCTACTATATAATTGCTCAAGAAATTGAGGAGGAAAAAAGAGGCATTTGATTTCAGTGTGTAAAATGAGTCAGACACTCCACAGAGACAGCTCACACTTTGAGCAGGTTCATATTTACAGAAGTGAAGATGAGGGAGTTCCAGTTCTTTTCCCAGTTCAATAAATATTTTGTTTACAATTGGAAGTGTACGGGTTGAGGGACCCAAATGCTGAAACAAAATGGGCAAGAACACACAAAAGGTAATGCTGATCCCGAGGCCTCATTTCCATTGCTTAGGGGTTCATTCCCCAATGACCTCCTGAGGTCTGAAGCAATGAACACCTTCAGTGCTCATAAAACTGCACAGCTCTATTAAAGTCAGGCATAGTACTTGACTCAGTGGCCATCTAAAGCAATCCCTGTGGCCGGACAACACACACTGCGTACAGCCATCTATACTCTCATTTGTGCTAAATTTGCCTCTCACATATTTCACTGCATGTGCCGTCCCCATGGTCAAGTGAAAAGAGGACACTCAAATTTCACAAAAATAACTTAGACCACTTAAATCAATACATACTAGCTTTTTCCTTTTCTTTACCAGGGTACCCTGGAGTTTTATGCTCTCTTTTAGTGATTCTGGTACCAATTGACTGGTGGGTTTATAGCAACCTGTATTTCAATTCACAGATCACACCAGCTCCAGGGAGTACAGCAGATTTAACATTAAGACTGTAAGAATGGCTGGCATCGTAAGGTTCTTAAAGAAAGGGCTTATGTGTATCAAACTCAGTATGATCAGTGTCAACCATAATGTCTGCATCGCAGCAGGACAAGTTGGGAGCTAAAATTCAGCACATATCTGCATGTGCCAGACTCCAATACGTGTGCCACAGCACGACGCTACAAGGATCCTGGACCAATGGGAAAACAAAGTTGCCTGAGATCAAGCAGCTAGTAAATAACAGAGCTGAGATTTGAATTTACATCTGTCTTATTTTGTCATGTGATTTCTTGACCACACTCAATACCCAAAATATTGTTGTGGAATGCCATCTGCATGGGGTTATCACACCTCTAGGCGAACCTGTTTCTGAGAGGGAAAAGACTGTCACTCCACAAAGCTGTAACTCCCACCGGGCCTAGTCACGGACTGGAATGCCACATGTAAGGTCAGTCGCTTGGCACACCATTAGCGAGCAATTAAGAAATAGGAGGGGAGGCATGTACAGAGCCAGCCTTTGCTGATAGTAGTGATTCTTTGGGGACTCGGTCTCCACTTTCATTGTCATTACCACTGTAGAAAAACAGTAAATAAAGGCAGCGGGTAGGGTGGCAGCATGAGAGGCAAGAAGAGAAGGGTTAAGGGAAAATAATCTGAGGGGTTGTTTACCTCTAAAATGTTCTTAAAAGGCAGCTCTGCCAGAGTAGCATTTTTCACATTTATTCTTATTTTCTTTACAATAATATTTATTACATTTTAATGATCCCAGGGCATTATCTATTAGGTTTTGAGAACATAGTGTTCAACGTTACCCAAGTCTAACTGTGGACGTAAATGTGCAAATCACCATTCCAATAGAGAAGCACTTGTGGGCCTCAGAGTGTAGAGTAGCTCATTATCTTGCTGGGCAGCCCTTCTATCTTTGACTAAAGACAGAATGAGTAATGTTGATAAGAAAAAAAAAACCTTTAAGCTTCATGTCAATCAAAAATTTGTGTTCTCACAACTTCCCTGAAATTATTCTGTGAACGCATCTGAAAGAACAACGTGTGACACATGTTGCCAGGCTGCTTCTCCACATCCTGTAAAAGTTCTTGGTTACCAGTCTTTCTGTGAGACAACTGGCTACATAGTCTATCCCAGAGCTAGTGTACTCCTGTCGCTAAACATATGTATATAATTTTGAGAATTCTTTCATGATTTTTCAATTTTAAAATCTAAAACAAATCTATATTTAAGAAAAAAAATGGTTTGACCTTTTAAAAAATGATCAGTTAACATGGGGCCCAGCTGAGTTAGAATAATATAAGTTCTCACTTGTCCCAGCACAGAAGAAATGAGCCATGTGCTCTTTGACAAAAAAGACAAAAACATACAGTGGGGAAAAAGACACCCTACTCAACAAATGGTACAGGGAAAATTGGATACCCGCATGCAGAAAAATGAAATTTGATCCCTATATCTCCCCATATACAAAACTTAACTAAAGATGGTTCAACGACTTAAATGTCAGACCTGAAATCATAAAAATCCTAGAAGAAAATGTAGGAAAAATTCTTACCCTAGGCAAATAATTTATGGCTAAAACACCAAATACGATGAAAACAAAATAAATAAGTGGGACTTAATTAAACTAAAAAACTTCCGCACAGCAAAAGAGATAATCAACAGAGCAAACAGACCACCTACAAAATGGGAAAAGATATTCGCAAGCTATGCATCTGACAAAGGACTAACATCGAGAATCTGAAATGAACTCAAATAAATCAGCAAGAAAAAAGCAAATAACCCTATTCATAGTGGGCAAATGATAGAAACAGACATCTCTCAAAAGAATATATACAAATGGCCAACAAACGTGAAAAAATGCTCAACATCACTATTTATCAGGTAAATGTAAATTAAAACCACAATGAAATACCACCTTATAGCAGTTAGAATGGCGATTATTCAAAAATCAAAAAGCAATAGATGCTGGCATAGATACAGAGAAAAGGAAACACTTAAGCACTGTTTGTGGGAGTGTAAGTTAGTATAACATCTATGGAAATCGGTATGGAGATTTCTCAAAGAACTAAAAGTAGACCTACCATTTGACCAGGAATCCCACTACAAGGTATGTCCCTAAAGGAACAGAGATTGTTATATTAAAAAGACACCTGCACACGCATGTTCACTGCAGCACAAGTCACAATAGCAAAGATGTGGAATCAACCTAAATGCCCATCAACTGATCAGTGGATATTGAAAATGTGGTATATATACACTACGGAATACTATTCAGCCATCAAAAAGAGGAAATTTGGATGGAATTGAAGACTAACTTCCTAAGTGAACTAACTCAGGAACAGAAAAACAAACACTGCATGTTCTCACTTATAAGCAGGAACTAAACGAGGGATCCTGAAAGACAGAGAGTATGGTGTAACGGACACTGGAGACTCGGAAGGAGGCGGGAGGGAAGGAGTGGAGGGCTGAAAAATCACCTATTGGGCACACTGTGCACAAGTGGGGGTGATGGGCACACTTAAAGCCCAGTCTTCGCCATTGTACAATGCAGCCATGTAACTGAAAACTATTTGTCTCCCCTTAAGCTATTGAAATAATAATAAAGAGAATCACTCTCTAATTCTCCTGTGTTGAAGAGTCACTGAGAGGGCTTGTTTAAGAGGCAGATTTGTCAGGCTCCACCCCAGAAGCACTGACTTGGTAGCATGGGGCTCAGGAATCTTCATTTTTCACCAGTACTGAAAGTGATTCAGATGTAGATGGTCTTCGGACCACATTTTGAGAAAAACTCTGATGTTAGCAGTTGTAATGATGCAGGTAGTTCATTCGGTTTCATGTCAGCAGAAAGGGCCCCTTTTGTAATTGTTCACACATGTCAACTGAGAGAAGCGAAATGAATCACCAGGCTTTTTTATTTGGTGTGCTTGTGTCTGTTGTGAAATACACAAACTTTTCAATGGTGCCGGCTTTACACTGGAATGGCCAATATTGGACCAGCTGTGGGAGCTCCAGACACAATTCGTATCCATTCTGGAGTAATACAAATTCCCTGAATCAGCTACAAAACTCCAACTAGAAAAAAAAATAAGTAATCTTAGATCTGATATGACTTTCTATGCTGAGTTTTAGTAGTAGGGAAGAGGATTCTCAGTAAGGGTAATATATTAAATAGTGATTTCAAAATGAACTATGTGAGATACTCAGCTAGGTACTAGGGGATGCACACAGTTCTTGCCAAACTGGAGCTCATGACTTGGCAGAAGTTGTAATCACTTTGGTCAGATGTATCAATCGTCTCATTGAATGAGAAATAGTAGTGTATTAAGTCATCAGATTCTACAATGCTTTGAAGTACTTCATTCTGAGGTCTGCATAAAGGTGAAATTTCATTTATATATAAGTTTGTGTGTGTGAGTATGTGTGTGTATACTTTAATATATATATTAAAGACAGGGTCTCACTATGCTGCCCAAATTGGTCTCAAATTCCTGGGCTCAATCCATCTTCCTGGCTCAGCCTCCTGAATAGCTGGGGTTACGCGCACCCCACTACTACACCCAGTAAAACTTCATTAATAGAAATTAGCATAGTAAAACAGCACATAGAAAAAAACTCTCAATGTGCTAAATCAACATTCTTATACTTAGTGTTGCTTACAGGTCATGGTTGTTAGCTCTGAGAGTAGAAGGAAATAATTTGTAGCTACTGTTATCATGACAAAATATAAAATTATCTAAAGGTTCCTATCACTTTCTGGATATTTCTTGAGCACATTTATTCATCATATTGTAGATAAAGTTTTCCTTACTTGTGGTCTCACCATTCATCTCTTTCAGTTCACTGTTGATTCCAACATCTATGGAATTCATTATTTTGTCAATCTGTAAGAAACAAAAGCCACGTAAAAGTAGTATTACATTCACTTTGGACACTGTATTTTAAAATAACTTTTCAATGCCAGCAGTATATATTCTTGATATTATTACCACAGCAATATCACAATCAAGAGACTTATAGAGAAAGATTTAAAGGGAAGCAAACATCTTTTGAACCTGTTTTAAAAATATAAATTGTGCCCCCTTTTCTTAAACTTTAAAAATTGGCATGCCTTTTTTTGTGTTTTTTGAAAAAAAGTCTGTACTTGGATGGGATGGTAACTTAGGTACTTGTGTATTCTTTAAACTCAGAAGGGGCTGAGGGTCAGTTTACGTGTGGCAGCCCATGTTTTCTGGCAACTCATCTGCCTGGTGAAGGGTGGGCATAGCCATGGGAACTAAGTTCTAACTAAATGGAGTGACCAACAAGTTGATTAGTGGCATCTAATCACAAGAATCTAGGCATGGAAGCAACTTAATCATAAGAGATAAGATAAATGTTAATTAATCTTGCTCCAAAAAAGGATTTAAGATGTTATTCATAGAATTCATAAATACAAGCCATGGATAAACTTGAAAAAAACTATCCATCGACTAGTATGGAATTTTGGAAAGATGTGACTCTCTACACTATAGCTATTTATGGTTTAATCCCTTTCCTCCTCGTCTCAGCAACCCAACTAAGGCTTCGAAGGACAACGAGCATTACTTAAATATCCCATTTTGTTCACCCTGAAACAGAGGCAGAGATGTAAGTGATGTTTCCAAACAGCTCCATTCAGACTGTCACTATCAGAACCATATCCGTTTCCAGTTCTCAGAATACTCTAGTGACCTACTGTTCTTCAAACCTGATCCAATGGTACAACCTTTTGAGAGACAAAATGTGATTTGTTGGAATGAAATACCAAGAAAATCTGTGGTCCATATCTTGAGGCGGTTTTTTTAGAAAAGGAAGATACTTCATTATCTTACGATGTAGCCCTCCTTAGGGACAAAGGATGCTATGTCATAACCTCACAAGGGCATTTACTTTCCGAATAATCCTATACAATGAAAGACTTCGTCTTTAAGTAAAACTTAAATTGGTGATGCTTGACTGCAAAACATTATTTTCTTTAATGTTTCTCTGTGCTCTCTGGTATCCCATCTGCCTGGTAGAGGGTGGGTTTCTGCTGGTGGGCACTGAATTCCGCAAAAGGGAAATATTAAGTGATATGTATTTACTGTATGGTGCTTGGAGACAAGCCAGGACCACTCTGTTTACCATTAAGGTTAAGATTCTGTGGAGATATTCTGAAAAATATATCCCTTTACAAAAGGGAGACAAGCTAATAAAAAGTTTAGCAAGTAGCAAAATCATACAGTAAAATACCAAGTTTTTTCTCAATTTGTCAGTTACAGAGCTTGGTAAGACAAGATGGGAACGTTCTCTGGAACCTCATAGCTAGTTATTACTTCTGCTTGATATCAATCTCTATGGAAACAATAGAATAACCCATATGTGCAGACTGTATTTGTTTTTATACTTGCTGGGAAATTACCACGTAGTACACATAGAACCTTTTGCTTCTGGTTGTAATTGCATGCATTTGTTAATGATGATGATGATGATGATGATTGCCTCTGAAAGACTTTAAAAGTTGAAAAACCTTTCCACCAACCCCCCTTGACTCCAAAGCCGTATATAAGAACAGCAAGAGGAACAAAGCTTACTTCTTCCCATTCCGATGTGAAGGACGGTGTTCTTTCAGAATTTCCTTTAGAACTATGCTCAGCAGTTGGCGACTCACTCCAGTTAACTCTGGATGTTTTCTCGCGGGACGGGTAGGCAATGAGATCCGAATCGGACTTAGAGACATTTTTTGACAAATGCACGTCGATCAGGGCTCTAGGCAAGGACCTTATTCTCCCCAGAGTACAGGCTCTCTCCACAAATCCCCCTGCGCTCACCACCCACTGGTCCCCACTCCGGGATCCACTCTTGCTAGGTCGTGTGCCTACAATGGTATGGTTTTCGAGTTGGCTGCTTTTTTTGTGAAAAATTGTTCTACTGACCACTTTGGGTTTGATTTTCTTCACTAAACGTTCTGAGTTGTTTTCTGTTGAAGACTGCTTGAGAGGCAAAGGACTGCTTGCCAGACTGACTCCGTCTTGTCCTTCTTCACACTGATCTCTTTTCCTATAGAGGTGGAAAGGATTTTCAGGCGACTCACAGGCTGGCGAGGATCCGTGGAGCAGGCCTGCAAATTGCCCGGGATCGTATTCTTTTGGGGGATCACTGTCCTTCTGCTGAGAGAGGTCATCTGCAAAAGGGAGGAAGAGTGTCAAGACGCTTGTTGATACAGGACTCTGAATGTCACGATGCAATGACTGCACTTAGGAGCTCGAGCAACAGCCACACATTTGATTTACTGCTACACAGCGATATCTTCACTTCATGAGATAACACCCATGACCCTATAGTCCCATGTATAAAACAGATGTGTGTATATGCACCCGTGCGTGTGTGAATCAAGTCTTCCTGATACACCTCAGGGTTCATTAAAAGTATGAAATGTGTATCGGTTAAGTGACTGCATATTCTTCTCCCGCGAGCCAAGGGTGTATATTTTATAGTGAATGAACAAAATTGGGTTTTCTTGAAATGGGACACTCACATCCAAACCCTCGCAATACACGAATCATCATGCAGCAGGATAACAGGCAGGTAAGTCAAGATCGTATAGAAAGACATCCCCCTGTCCTCCTCCTGGCAAATACATTCAAAAGCAACAGCTTGAGAGAAAGTACAATTAGAGATCATTTAAGTTTAATAATCCTGATAGTATTAGTTTAAATGTAAAATTAAGAATAATTTTATACAAATTGTATGACTTAGACAAAAGGAATTTGTTCAGGCTTAACATAGGCGAACAATGCCACCTGTAATAGCACTAAAAAGAGAGACTCTTCCACACGAAACTGATGTTAAGCTATGAACACAAGGCTTTTTCTTTCTTCTCTGAAATAGCATTCGTTATTTTCAAATTTCTTCAGATCTTTGAAAATGGGATGCAGAAAAGAAACCAAAGGAGAATGATAACTTCTATTGCTTTAGAATTTTTTCCAAGATAAAACATACATTTTCTCTGATATTTAAAATATTCCATGCTTTTTTATGACTTAATTTGTCTTTTAAAAATATACTGTGTAAAAGCCTGGCCATATTTAGCAAAGGAAGCCATTTTGCTTTCTTCAGTGGCCATTTTAGTTCCTATAGGTAGCTAAATATTTGCCAAGATCAAAAGTTAAATTACCTGATAAGCCTATAACCCATCTTGTGAAGAAGTTAAATGCAGCCAAGGTGGTACATAATGATACCACATCCAAAGTTGATTTGTTGATTTATACTTTAAAGAAGTTAGTTACCATCATAAGCCCCAAATACCTACATTTTTATAAATTAACAGGTAACATTTAATAGACATGTACTGCTCACTAGGCACTGATTTAGGAGTTATAGTCACGTTACCTCATTTGACCCTCATAACAGTCCTATGAAGTGATTATTTGTAATAATACTTATGGTTTTCTGACAAAGAGAAATGGCCAAAATGCTAAATTCTTGTATTTTTAAGAAACTGGCAACCACAGTAAGTCTTATCAGACATTTGCCCAGAGGACACTATAGACAAATACACTCTATAAGAAGGGTGGGCCCAGGGCTCCTCACTGCTGCCTCCATGGGAGCTGGTGAAGGTATGTGCACTCCCAGCTTTCCATATCCCTGACTCTGCCCTGGTCTCAGGCTTTTCAGAAGTCTGGTCTCTGCCCAGACCTGTCATACCTGCATCCTGAGTTGGAAGAAAGACAAGTGACAGGAAGAGAGACCCAAGTGACACCAAGCACAAAAGAGCAACAATCTGCCCCCAGTTAGTACTATTATACTGACTGTATTCTCCCACAAAAAACTCCATCTCTTTCTAAAGTAGCCACACTATGTCTTGAAAACTCCATTCTTCTTTCCCTCACGACAGAAATCTTTCTTAGGGTAGAAACGTGGGTGGGTAGTGGGGCAAGGCAGCTTTGAACTTGGTCTAAAGACTAGAGTTGAACACTTATTATTGTCCACTTTTCAGAAGTCAAAACTAACAATTAGACAACTTAAGTTGCTGGTGTTTCTGTGCCTAGTCAGTGATTAAGCTGAGGTTCAAGTTAAAGTCTATCAGATTCCAATAGCCATTGGTCTGGCAAACATATGACTACTGAGATAAAAGAACAACCTAAGGATTGGTTTTCCCCCCGGAACAAGAAAGTAGGCTTTGTGGAGAGGGACACATTTCTCTGCTCATGACTATTTCTGGAATTTGGGAATGGTGGCCGAAGAGCATTCGAGTTTTTTGTTTGTTCTTTTTGTATTTGTTTTGTTTCCTTCTTGGAGATAAGCTAATATTATGAGAAAATAAGACCTGGCATCCTGTTTATTTTCCCATTTTTCTTACTAGGCCTCTTAGACCCCCTATGGCTTTCTACTGTGGGGTGACGGATATGGGGAGTGGTACAGTAGTCAGGAGGAGATCTGAAACAAGGTAGTTCAGCATTTCATTTTGAAAGCGGCTGAAGAAGGATGATGGGTTTGAATTTGAAAGGAAAGTTGAAAAGAGCTAGCCCATTGTGGGCCAAAGATTCTGTACGTCAGTCAAAAGGGTTTCTGACCAAGTTCATTATCTACAGTAAGGAGAATTTTAGGGGTGTAATAGTATTTGAAGTTTTCTGCAAATATTATTATTAGGCTGCCATCCTCTCTGTGGTTTGACCAAAATGACTATAATTACAGCTCCAAAATACTTTTTTCTTGAATCAAGACTCACTCTGTTGCCCAGGCTGGAGTTCAGTGGCACCATCATGGCTAACTGCAGCCTCGACCTCCTGGGCTCAAGGAGATTTTTTTTTTTTCCTCAGCCTCCTGAGTAGTTGGGACTACAGGCACGCACCATGATGCGTGGCCTATAGTTCTTATATTTTATTTTTTTGTAGAGACAAGGTCTCACTGTTCTGCCCAGGCTCATCTCTAACTCTTGGCCTCAAGTGATTTTCCCACCTTGGCCTCCCAAAGCACTGGGATTACAGGTGCAAGACACTGTGCCTGGCCTTCAAAAATACTTTATGTTGTCCAAGTCTTTTCTAGTGACTTCTCTAAGTAAAAGATAATCTAGTTATCGATTTCAAAACTCAATTTCTTGAGTCACAGTTCTTAGCATCATGATGATAACATTTTTGCCAACAGCAGTAAGAAGACAAATGTTACTTGCTTTTTTCAGTGGCCAAATCAAAGAAAATGAGACGTTGATACAAAGCCTCCAGGAAAGCCTGAGTGGCGGGCTGAGGGCAATTACAGCCCCAGTCTGCCCAGGGGCTCCCTGCAGACACAGCTGTCCCTGCACCCGGTCTCCCATGCTGACTCCCATGTGGCCACAGGCCTTGTACTGCTCAGCCAGACACCAGCAAACACCATCTGTGCAGAGACTCGAAAAGCGTGTGTGCATTAGACTTGCTCTCTTGCTGCTCTTAGAGCCTTGCCAACATGTGAACCCCCAGGCTGGCTGCTGGATGATGGAATGACACTTATCCAGCTGTTGTTAAATGAAGGTTTTATGGTTTTTCAGGTATAGTGAAACCAATAGATCAGGAGACGGTTACCATTGAGAAGATAGACAGTTCTACTCACTGATCCAAGAAGTGGGCGTGCCACACCACAGGGACAACTAGTCAGTCAGGAGGCTGAGGGAGGGAGGGGAGATCCTTTACTGTGGTTTCCACAGGCAGGAACAAGCAAAGCAGGGATAAGCAGGTTTAGAATTGGCTGGTCTGAATACTTTTCAGGGAACTCTGGGGTAGAGGGACTGCACCTCTTTGTCTGGTGCCTGCCTGTAAGGTAATCAGGGCAGGGGAATGAATGGTGGCCTGGACAGCGGAAGCCAGATAAAGGTGGCAGTGGGGGTGTGGCTTTCCATTTGTTTGCACATGAAAAGCGTGACTGATTACTTTCTCCAGGAATTAGCTAGCCCTGAGAGGGGCAGTCTCTCCAGCCACAGCAGGGGCCCACATTATCAAAGCATACAAACAAAAACAAACACCCAGAAAAGAAAAAGACACAGTTAATACACCGGCCACATCTGCCACCCCAGCAAACAGTCAATCAACTACCCTGCATGTGAGTGCGGCCATCCAGGACACACCAAGCCCAGGCCAATCTGCCCATGGACCACGGACGCAGCAGAGAGCATATCCAGGATAAGTGGAGGCTGGCCCAGACCAGACGAAGAGCCATGTGGGGTACAATCCAGGGTTAGGTATACAAGTGTTGATTATGCAGGTGCCCTTGTGGATGACATCTTTTATAAGGTCCCTGCTCTCATGACCTAGTCACCTCCAAAAGGCCCCCCTCCTGAGACTATCACCTTGGGGGTTAGGATTTCAACATATGAACTTTGGAGGAGGACACACATATTTTATATCATGGCAAGAAGCAAAGCAGTTAGAACACTCTCTTGCATAGAAGACAGTGAATATATGTTTCTAGTATTATAACAATAGTTTCTAATCTAGATGATTTCATTTTTACAAAGACATACAGTAACAGCTGATTGCATTAGACAGACAATAAAGATTATTTTGACATGATAATCATATGAGATTTACTCCTTTGTTTCTGTTCGCATATTTTAAAAAGTATACTTTGGAAAGAATTTTTGTGTTTTCTTACTATTTCTTTAGATGAATGGAGGCAAAAGATACAGATTAAACTATTTTCATGACTTGCCTCATTTAATTTCACACTTCTCTTTTGACAAGTGGATGTTTCATGCCAAGGTACAGAACTAAATATGCGTGAATTCCAATCTGATAGTTATTCAAAGCAGCATTAGCATTTCTAAGAAATGTCAGAGTAAGTCTCCAATAGTAAGCAGTTCAACCTCTTTTTATTCATCTTTATCCTGATCTTTATCACCTATATAAATACCTGAATAAAATACTAAATTTCATGTTATGAGGAGACCAAATTACGGAAAACAAGTGACTTCAATGATAGATCATAACTTTTGTCTATTGTGTCACTATATCCCTTTTAGAAAATTTTTTTAAAAATCAATTTTCAAGGAATCTAGTGCTGATGTTGATATTACTAGAGATTGTGAATTTGTTTCACAGATACGTATAAAACACCTCCTGTACATCGGGTGGCAAAGTCTCAGTAGTGCCTGAAGGGTGCAGGAAGCGACCAGAGGGGCGGCTCCCAAAATGGCGCCAACACACCAGACAA